AGGGTTACGTTTTGATCGGAGCTGATCATCCAGATTCCTTTCCATTTCTCTAGGCTTTACACATATTTTTGTGAGATTTTTCTTGTTATAGCGTTATTTACTTTAAGATGATGTTGTTGTTGATATCCAAGAACTATATGTGTTTTTGATGTATTGGTAGCCTCTGGAGTGTGTTCTAGAGAAGGTTAACTGTGTATCCAATTATTTTCATGGTAGAAGGTTTTACTGGACTAGGTCCCGAAGTTTTTCCTTCATACTGAAGGATTTTCCTAGTGAAGAAATCATTGTATTCAATTATTTATTTTCTTGCAGCGTGTGTGAGTTGTTAGAGTTGAATATTATTATTGCCATTTTAATTATGTACAATTGGAGGGGTTGAAGTTGTTTCCGCTGTTTGTTGTATTATTGGTTCAATAATGGTTCAATTCCTATCAAAATGTTACGAGTTGTCGGCTAAAACTCACTTTCAAAACCAATTTGGTTGATGAGCTTATAGAGCTAAGAAATACTAAAAATCTGTAAGAGGATTTAGAAAAAAGAAATTACCAGCTTTTGGGAAGAGAGATCTCCATTGGCCTTCACCATGTTGTTGAATGTAATTTGTAAGCAAAGTATTTTTTTAAAGGACCATGGACCTCTCTGCAAACCTAGTTTTGAACGGGACCTTCTCATTTTGCTTCAGTTTACTAGAGAGAGGGCGGTGGCGATAGCTGGCGCTAATGGAGCCACTATTGTCTTCGGTTTGGGTTTGGTTGGCTTTCGTGTTTTTTTTTTTTTTTAAATTTTTTGATTTAATTATTCTATTTTAATTAATAGTAAAAATATAAATTTACTACTTTAATTGGTTTTGGATTTTTTTTTTTTGTACTTTTTTGAAAAATTTGGAAGTATGGTTACAATTTGTTCTTTAATTTTTTTTTATTTAAATAGAAGGGTATAGTTGTCATTTTACAATTTTTATTGTGAAATTGGATAAAAATTGATGAAAAAGTTTTTTTCATTATGAAACGTGTAAATAGGGGTCAAAATACAAAAAATTGAAATGTAAGAATATTTTACACACTAAAAGTCAAACGTAAGGATGTTTTGTGCTAATAAGTCTTATGACTTATGTGCAAAATCAAACCTACTTTGATGATATTGTACCTTTTTCAAGCCCAACCCTTTGGCATTTTTTTCTCTCTTGATGAACAAAAAATTGTGTGTTATGTTTTGGGCTGCCTCATAATTACTTTGCCATGTTGGTTGTATTGGGCATGTGTTGTAATGTTTTCTTTGGCCCATAATCGTTTCCTCTGGGCTCTGCTATCTGGCCTTACACTTGGCTAGATCCTCACTGTTGATTGAAACCGTTTGATCTCCTGCTTTAAGTGATTCTCGAAGATTCATTTCTTTGAGTCGGTTGGAGTGCCATTGTGAGGTATTCTCTCTATGTGAATAGAGTTATCTCTCTCTCCGTCGTTTGAAAATT